TGCAATGGTTTGATCTTGTGCCAAATTTATAGAAGCGCTTCAAACAGGCGTGATAGAAAGTTATCAATCTGGAATCTTGTCTTGAAGGAATTTTGATGGATAGAACAATCAAGTACGTAGATGTCTTCGGATTTGCGTCTTACCATTTGCCCAGTCAAAGAAGGAAAGGATGTTGATGCTGATTTTGATGATGGATAATGTTTTATGATGTACAAGGTACTTAATTTTACTGATTATCAGTCACCCGAGTATGATTACCAATCGTTGCAAACCACACCTTATTTGATAGAATCACATGTAAAAAGAGAATCCACCAAATAAGGTGTGGTTTGCGACTATTGGTTGTTGTTATGTATATTTCAATACATTGAATGTTATTTTATAAATTTTAAAAATGGTCAAATATTTTATAGTTTATTTATATATATTAAGACCATATATTAAAAGTATATGTTTCATGTAATTGTAATTTTGAAATGAATTGTATTATGTTTTGATAAACTTAAGTTAATTTTGTCATCAATTTATTATATTTTAAAATTAAAATTTAATAAATTGATATTTTCAAATATATATATATATATATATATATATATATATATATATATATAATATTTATTTTAAATATATATTACAAATCGCTTGTTGTAGTTTTTACCATTCAAACATTTGTATCGCACCGCATGTTGTTTTTTCACCATTCATAAATTATATGCTCTACTTATTTTGTACTAATCTGCATACCGCGTTTATTCTTTACAAACTATAGTTAAACCGCTCTGCACTATGACCTTGAATGTAAATCACAAAACTGTGCTTATCTTAGTGTGAGGCCAATTTGTGTCCATTCACCCATTTAGTTTTAGTTTTTTTGGATTTTAATTAATAATAAAAATATATATATTGTGGACCACATGCGATATAAAACAAATTTCGTACATACAGAGATAAGGCTTATCCAAAGGTATGTTTTGTACAACTGTATCAATTTGACATCTTTTCTTTATTATTACTTTCCTCCACTAATACAAAGATAATTGCATAGTCCAAACAAACACGACACTCTCTCTCACTGTCATATACATATACATACTCTCAAATTCACAGTCACTTTCCTTCAAACATATAAAAGCTATATAATTTTTGTTAGCTTTTAATTAATTTTAGATTTTTGAATATTAACTTCTATCTCTATACATAAATATGAATGATAAATTGTTTAATCGATGTCATGCTTCACTACGTTCTGTTATCGAAAGAACCTTTGGAGTTTGGAAGAAAAAATAGAGAATTCTTTGTGATTTTTCAAGGTATAGTATTCACGTTCAAAAGAGAGTGGTAATGGCAACAATAGGAATACACAATTTCATCAAGATTTCAACATTCCCTCTTATTGTCGTACTCATATACACACTCTCAAATTCACAGTCACTTTCCTTCAAACATGTAAAACCTATATAATTTTTGTTAGTTCTTAATTAATTTTAGATTTAGACTATATATTATTTACAAATACTTTCTCAATACCTTTTTTTTGTTTTTTTTGTCCGCCTACTACATTTCAACTAAAAGGAAAACCCAGACTTGGGCTGTGGGTCAAAGCCCAAATCCCCCAACAAAAACCACGCCGTCTGTACAAAACGCGAATCTGCGAAAAACTGACTCAGCAAAAAACCCTATCTCTCTTCCGCATCCAATTTTTCTCCAGCCGTCAAACAATGTCTTCAGGACGAGAAAGTAAGTGTTGCGATTAATCAGTCTTTTTGAATATAAACTTCTATCTCTATACATGGATATGAATATTAAATTGTTTACTTGATGTCATGCTTCACTACGTTATGTTATCGAGAGGACCTTTGGACTTTGGAATAAAAAATGGAGGATTCTTTGTGATTTTTTAAGGTATATATTCATGTTCAAAAGAGAATGGTAATGGCGACCATAGGATTACACAATTTCATCAAGAATTCAAATTTTTTTGATGCAGATTTTGCTGAAGTAATGATAGAGATTGGAATACAGAATAACGATAGAGAGCTTCATTTAGATGACATGAAAGCAAATGGAGCAGCAAATAGAGACTATATCAAACAAATAAGAGACAATATTGCAGACAAGTTGATTTAAGTGTAATTTATAGAAAATAGTATAGTACAATATCTATTATTGTATGATCATTACAACATTTTTTAGTTACGAACACTATTCACAATTTAAAAATATATATTCGTTTTAATAATAATTCATTCAACCCACGACATATTAAAAAAAAAAATCTAATTTTTTAAATAGAATCACAGTCTTAAGTTAATTTAATTTTTGAAACTATGTAACAAACAAATGTGAGGAGATAAATAAAATTTTTTTTCCAAAATACAAAAAAGAAATAGAAAAAAAAAAAGAAATTTCACCTTCACTCTCCAACACTTATGGGTATTTTTATTCTCTTTGTTTTCAAATTTAATGTGCTATAACTTTAATTCTATTTATCAAATTTGGTTATTCACCTAAATTATCTTATATTTAATTATTATATAGATATATATATAGATTTAATTGAAAATAGCTATTGAAGATTTATTTGCTTGAACTAAAGAAATTCATCAACGTGAAATCAAAATACTTTTGTAATAGTAAGAATGATATAAAAAAAATTTTATACCAAACCGAATATGAATTTATGTTAATAAGTTTTTATTTGGTTTGATCATACATGTTTAGAATTTGACCCATTTTAAATCCAAAACCGGAAACATTAGAACAAATTTGAACAAAAAATACAGGATGTACTAACTTATAAACTTTTGTAGTTTACATAACAATTTCTAATGGCAAAGAAACTGATTTATTTCCAGATCAAAAAAAAAAAAAAAAAAAAAACTCAATTTCTTGGAAAGGAAATCGTAAACTCGAATTTGGAAAAAAAAATTACAAAGTAAGTTTATTTATTTTTGTTTTCATATAATAGTTTGTTTGGTACTTATTTGTTTTATTAATAGTAGGGGTTATTTTGCCATTTCTTTTTAAAGATGATGGCTTCAAGAATCACAAAGAAAAAGTGAGTTTTTTTTTTGTAATATTTTTGGAAAAGATGAGGGTATTTTTTACCCATTTTCTTATTACACAATACAGTACATATTTATATATATTTGACCTTTTGTTTATAAAACAAAAAAAAGCTGAAATATGTTTATTAGAAATATAGCCCAAACAAATAAATTTCTAGCCCAGCCAATATGAAAAATCAATGAAGTAGACACATCAAGGTAATTTTGGTTACTCTCTCACATCTCTTGTCACTTTAACCTCGTTGTTTCTCTCTTTTGTAGTTTGTTCGTTTGATTTATTGATTTTGTTTCACAGTCTCACACTCTGTCTCTGGCTGCTCTTTCTCCACGAAGAAGCTTCTCTTTTTAATTCTCTAAAAATAAATGGTTTTGAGTAGATTGAATTCTCAATTCTTGGATTTGAGTTTGTATATATCTATGTGTAGTATTTAATCGTTAGTACAATGATGGATATGTTTAGGGTTTCTAATTTTATATATAAAATTTTTATATAATATTGTAAATAAAAATTAAATAATTTTACAAAAATTTTCTAAAAACTAAATTTTTTTTTTTTTGAATATTTATTTTGGTCAACATTGGTCAAACTGGTCAATGCCGGATTCCGGCGAAAAGTGTACCGGAAAAAAATGTTCGTGATGTTGGCGACATGACTACATATAGTTCGTATATGTGGGCATGCGATACATATAGTTTGTGTAGTTAGGGATACATTTTTAAATTTCGGATGTCTCGCCATGTATTGTCGCATACTTCGTGTAGCTAGGTATCTTTTTTCCTAGTTACATTTATATACCGTCTTGTTGTGCGGGATTGCAAAATGCAAAAGCTTTCACACAATGTAATCTTGGTTTTGTTTTGTTGCTAGTTGATTTTGGTTCATTGCAAAAGTATGCCATAGACAATTTTGGAGATCAAGCATTGTCGTCGTCAACAATGGGAAAGATCCACAAAAACAATAACAAGATGGGTCAGAGAGTGGTCACCAAGAGAATAAATAGAGCTGAAATGGTTTTTAAGATGGCTCAACTTTGTCTCCAGAAGATAAGAGACGTGAAAGCCTTTTTTGTTGACCTTTTCTTACAACTTTTTCTTCTCTCTGTTTTTTTGTTGCTGAAATGTATACGGAAAATAATAGTTACCGTCAGAGAAATTTATTGCAAGTGATTATGAAAAGTAAAATGCTTCTCGAAAATAGGTATAGACAGTTCAACAATTTATACCTGTCTTTTTGGTCAATGAGAAAGACTTTAACTTTTAGTATGAATTGTTTTATGACAAGGAGATCATCGAAAATTTTTTCAAAGATATGTTTTTCTTAATTTTTTTTTTTTCATAATTTGTTAAGGGGACTAAAAATCCAAAAGAGGCAATAAATAATAAGCTTAAACAAACTAAAATCGGCTCTAAAAACTAGAGTTCTTACAAAGATTTTTCTAACCTAATAATGAAAACATAACGAAATCTAAAACTTTCATGAGATCCATAATTGGGTCAGTGCCTTCCGACTAATGTCAGGGAGGTAGTCAGGCCGCCTGCATTTCTGATTACTAGGTAAACCAATTGGACCAAAATCCAACTGACATACTTCCCACATAAATGTGTTTTTGTTTCTAAGGAAAATCGAATTCGGGTCTACGAGTTTCACCCTTCACCAAAGATTCCCCTACCATTAGACCACAGATTTGCGGGCACCTAAAACTTGTTTGTAGGCCTTATACACTAAGAAGAAATCCAAAACGATGAAATGCGACATTGTGGATTAGGTTTGAGACATATGCTCAATATGTGACGCTCGATTTTTATCACCATAGATGAATGAATATTGCCAAGCGTTATCGAGCGCCTTCAAGCATCAGCAAACATCTCTTAACTCCGTCAAGCCAACGAACACCACTATATCCATAACACACAAGCAAAAACATACATAATCTTCTTTGGAATGGAGAAGCATTAAATAGGAATGGACTAAAGCTGGCCCCAGATACTGAGGGAGATTATGGACCAACGGTCCGGAACTCCCACGGTTTAACTAAAAAAAGCACACATACAGATTGACCGCCTCTTCAATCCCAATTCAATTTCAATCACTAACCAAACTCTTCCATCTTTCGACAAAGATCATTATGCAACATAGGATGGATTAAGCGCACATGATAAAATAGCATTTGTTTTCTGGTTTCTTCCTTTTCTAGTAGTTTTTTAGTTTTTCATTTTTCTTTCTATTAGTCGATTTCTTTCTTCATTTAAATCAACATTCGAAAAGACTACGGGTCAAGATCCAAAACTTCTTAGTAAACAGAAACAAACAAATTATATATTAAAAATTGCAAATAGAAGGTTTCTTTTATTAATTATTTACAAGTGTGAAACAAAATTACTTTTTTCTTAAAAAATAAAGGAGACGACCGTGGATGGGGGGAACTACAACACTCAACCCCTCCATATTGTAATAATAAAAAATGTGACAAATATTAAAATAATTATGAATAAGAAATGAAATTATAGTCTAAACCTGTATTTGCAGTTACTACTTCTAACCCTAATCACACTGTTAGCAGCTAAGCTATCAACGGATACACCACACCTAACCAAAAATCTTACTTCCATCAACTTTAATTTCCCGAGTTTGATCCGAACCGGTTGGGTAACTCTAATCCGCAACGGTATGCTTCCTGTTAACCGTTGTTGCTCTTGCAATGTCGTCATTACACTTGTTGCATTCTGATTAAAACCAGTCATTTCTACGGATATAATAGTCGTATTCTCATGTCCTTGGTAGAATTTCGGCAATGACCCTGTAGACAATTGTGGAATCCGGTTAACTATTTGAACCAATATAAACCAATCAAACTAATATAGTGAGCAGATTTGAACGTACCATTACTGAGTCTGGTTTGCATGTACAAGACACTAATTCTGCTTCCATCTTCATAGTAAATTCCGATTTTCTCGTTGGGATTTTTCGCGGTTATGGTAACGTTAAACCCGGTAGATAAACTCAAGTCTTGGTTTAGTTGAAACCGGGTGAGCTGTAACCGGTCAATATTGTAATCCGGTAATTTTGGTCTAAAGACAAGGTAGAGTATACCAACGATCGCTCCAACGATAACAATAAGGAGAAAGAGGACGAGAAGCGTGTAGCACACGCATCTGCACCAACAACTTCTTGATCCTTTCTTCTTACTCGGAGGATCCAACGGTGCTGCTTGCTGTGTCTTGGTGGGATCACCGTGTTCCGATCTCGAGGAGCCACGTGGAACAAGGGGAGCCGTTGGATGTGGTGGCGCTTCCGGGTCGCTTACCGGATGGATTTTCTGATGATCGGACATGTTTGGTTACGTTCTTGATTCGGCTTCAAGATTGGGGTTTTTTAAAGTCAATAAAGAGAAGCAAGTTTTGATGGAGAAGAGTATCTTCACGTTTTGTTTTAGTTAATTGTATATATAAGCTGTTAGGTGTTGTTTAGTAAAGTAATAGTATGAAGAGAAAAGTAGAAAAAGCGACTCTTGCACGTAAATAAAAGAATATTTAATTTTCATACCAAACGTGTCTTTTGAATTCCTTGCGCCTTTTTTGGACCGTAATCGTGACGGGTTCATTAGTTTATTACTTTTGGAATTCATGTTATTACTAGAAGAATTAATTGTCAATTATGGGTTCCGCTGCCACGAGAGGATGAAAGTTCTTACATGCTCCCGCATAGACAACGGGTGTGTCATGTGTGTCGTCGGTTTCTTTTTTTTCTTTCTTTTTTTTAGTTTTTTCCAAGGTAGAATTTTATTAAACATAACCAAATCATACAAGAGCTAAACAAAAATCCTACACTTTAGACAGTGTTTTAAAAGCGGTCTACGCGGTTACCTAAGCCCCGAGTGGGCGCTAGGCTCTTATGCGACGTCTAGATAACTGCCTTGACCGTCTAAAATTACACAGATCTAGTTTAGTATATTTTTTCAATTTCAATTAGAGTTTTATTTATATATATAGTTATAAATTTTCATATATTGTTTAATATAAATATAAATAAATGTTTTATCTAGTTTTTGTTTATAATTTCATAATTTTTAGTTTAATATAGATATTTTATATAGCTTTTATATATAATATTATATTTATAATGTTTTATGTTATAAACGCCTAAACCGCTAAAAAAATCGTCAAAACCCCGATTAGACGTTCTAAGCGTTAGGCACTGGGTCACCACCCGCTTAGCGCCTAGCGCGTTCTTGAACACTGAATTTAGATTATAGAAATATAAAAGTCCAAGAAAAGCCCATTAGATTTATAGAAATATAAAAGTCCAAGAAAGGCCCATTAGATTTGCAAAATAAATTTTATCAGAACTCGACTCCATGGGGACGTGTTGACACCATGATATACAACAACATATGACATATGAGTAACTAAAAGTTTATTGACAACAACGTTCACCGTTCAGCGCCGATTCCAGTGAAAATTCTTCGTCGAGATGAAATCGGCAATGACTCTTGTGTTTAGCGCCGAAAATAAACATCAAAACTCCTAATTAAAGATAACAATTTAAAGCATCGAGATAAGACTCTTTGAAACGATTCTGCAAACTAGGAGTTCAAAAGAAAAATTGGATGAAACCCATCTTAAAAGAAGCATAATCTAAAACTTCGTCACTAACCAGATTTAATGAAATTATTGAAAAGAAAACATAAACTTCGGAAATAAATCTGATTCACGTTAAATTTAAAAAAATGAACAGGCCAACATCGTTAGTGAGAGTCAGACGGTGCTAGACACATAGCCGACCATCTCCTCTAAAAGAAGCCGGAAGATGCCGGACAAAAGCCCACTACATTGTGGATGATAACCACCACATAAAAGAGATATGGTCGGCGAAATCAAACACAAAATCGCTTTTTCTGTGGCAATACATTTTTAAAACGTTTACTTTTATCATTTTTACAAAAACAAATACAAAAATTATAGACATTTTTTTGCAGCAGATAAATTTTTTTTTTTTTGACATCTTTGGATCGACAAGGCCCGATCCATAGCCAATCCCTACTACGCGGGGTAACGCGATTTAGTGGAGTCGAACTCGGTGGGGAAGGCGGAGTCAAGTGGACTTAACCACTTGACTAAAGGCACATCCCCGCAGATAAATTTTAATATAAATATATTAAATACAAATTCATCAACAACTAAACATTAATAAATGATTTAAATATATATAAACTAAATCGGTTTAATGTGTCCAAACTCTAAACTATATATAGAGGGAAAAGTCGGTTTATTATGTTCAAACTTTAGAAGAAATATCCCATGCAAGATGTAATAAACATGTCGCCATCAATAATTAGCTGATTAAGTACTTTTCGACATTTATGTTACTCCGTTTGTTTTAAAATATAATATATTTTGCTTAAAAATTCAAAATTTAAAAACTAACTAATCTCATTTGTTTTATGTATGTTACATCAAAAACATAATTTAATATTTAATTAAAAATATTTTTACCAATGATAAACTTAACTACATAATATAAATAGTCACAAATTATATAAATTTATTGTTTTGCATGGACACTAGAATTTATTTTATAAAACATCCTATATTGTGAAACAAGACAAAAGGTCTAAAACGTCATATAATAAAACATAGGGAGTAATCAAATAGACCAAGATTTGGTTGAAATAGCGAAACCCAAAATTAAATTTCTTTACACCATGCATATTCAAAAACAAGAGATTCACATGCAACATATATGCCATTTTAGTGGATTATTATATTAAATCTGTAAAAGAAGAAAGTTGATATGGGGCCAATTGGTTTCATGATTTAAAGTCTTAAAAGAAACATTATCTTCGATCAAACTTTATCATCCCTAAATATATTTTAAAATTTTCTCTCAACATTTTTTCTTGTATTTTGTTCTTAGAATGAGTGGGGTTTTTTAAAGTCTCTAATACATGGCTTTTATTTGTTGTTGAAGGAAGCGTGAGACTAGGTTTGGAGGTTTTGGAAAAAGCTTTTGAAAAGAGAAAAATCAGTTTTTGATTTTGAAATCCGGGACTCTTTTTTGTTGAAGAAGGCTTGTATTTGATATATTTCCGAAATTTGTTTGAGGTATTTAAGTTTGGAAATCCGATTCTTAATTATAAGAATAACCCAATATTTTCAAAACTTAGGATGAATTACATTAGCCCATATGGCTAAAGAGATCGATCATGTTGATTGATGGTTGTCTATCGCCAAACCACATGGGTTTCTTACACCCTATAGCACAATTGTACCACCAAGTGGTAATACCAAAGCAGTTTGTGACTTTATTTATCTTGTTATTTAGAACCATATACGTCAAACCTTAATACCCTTGAAATCAGTGTAACACATGTGCTTTGTGCAAGTGGTAAGAACATATGGTTAAATGTTTCGAATAGAAACTGAATTATGGCTAAAGAATGACCGAGGAATAAGCAAATTATAAAGGAACCAGTCAAAGAATGATCTAATGGACCAAATAAAGAGGTGATCGTGTTCGCGTAATATGGATCTTGGTTCATGTGAATGCTCAAAGATTAACCCATAATCAAGGAAGATTTCAGGAAACCAGGGCCGGCCCAAAGGATTCGGATGCCTAAAGCCCAAAATTTTTTTGTTACTCATTAACCAACAAAAATACAAAAAAATGTTAAAAATTCGTCTTAATGTCACTCGAACTCGTCAACTCCCGCAATAAATGAGACATTAACCACTGTACTACAAGATCTTTTCTAAAATTTTATGCCCCTTAAAAACTAAAATATAATCTGATGCCTAAAGCACCTGCTTGATGGGCTTTAGGTCTGGGCCGGCCCTGCAGGAAACTTAGCCAAACGGTGAGTGGCTAAGTAAGAAAAAAACCTGTGTAATCCAATGGACCCCATGATCCAACCAATTTAAGTTAGGGTTAGAATAGATACTTTGATGAATTAGTCGATGGATTAGGGTCGATAAACCAAGTTATGATTGTTTGACCCAAAAAAAAATAGAAACAAAGTTATGATCACGGGAATTATCAAATAATTTAGTCACTGCCATGATAATTTAGTTTTAAACTAATTTAGTGTTGGCCCATGCTACTCACCTTCGTCCGACGCTCGATAAGCTATTTTTTTTTTTTTTTTCATAAAAGAAAACCCTTTCTTTTGTTTGTTTTAAAAAAGGAAAATTTTTAATTAAAAAAAAAAAAGGAAAGAGAAGCAAGATCACGAAAATATTTACACACTTACTTGGGAAATAACATTGTTTAGTTTATTCTTTTTGATAACTGGTGATATTGCTTCGCATTAGTAGACATGTATACAAGCTTCACAAAACCTTTCATCCGCACTTTGTTACACCAACAACAAAATTTATGTATTTAAGACTTTAAGTGCTTCAAAAAGGTTTTGAAAATTTTGTAAGACAAAAGGTTTTAAGACATAAACGTTTTTTTTGCTACTTTTGAGCTGGCTGTTAGTTCCCATTATCTTATTATTGCTTCTCAAATTAATTTTGTGAGTATTTTAACTGGGTGGATAGGTTTTCAGTTTGTAGTTAACAAAATGGATAATTTTAATTAGGTTTAGTTTTTCAGTAGTTTTCACCTTTTACAGGTCAAACATAACCCGAACTGTATATACTATTTACCACATTGTCACTGATTTTTCCTTTTAAAAGAGTAATATGAAAGAATGGCCCTAGAAGATTGAAAAATTAAGTATCCAACTATAGTATTTTGTTTATTAGTTCTCTCTCTTAGTTGTTATAAATTTGACGAAAATACCCTCTACGTATATAAATCTCTTAGCGAGATAACAAAATAGATATCGACAAATAATAAACAGTTGACATTTTCTTCAACATTATTTCCGGTGATTTTTTAATGTCCTATCCGGTAACAATGATGATATTTACCGATATTGATAGTAAAGATGATTTTTTGGCGGTGGTAAATGTGGGAAAGATGATATTATCGGCGGTGCTAACTTATAAGTTAAACGTGCTAAGTAAATTATCATGCTAAATAAATATGTTAATGTATAAGTTAGCGATAACAAATAAACTATTAAAATAAATAAACATGTTAATATATAAGTTAGCTGAAATCAATCATATACTAAATATTTTAACACGATAAATATGCGTTTACCATATAAATTATAATTTTATCGCGATATAATATAATTTACACTGGTAATCTAATAAATAATCACAAAAGTCATAGTCTCTTTATTGTATCTCATGATGAATAGTGTTTTTAAAAGTCAGATAAATTATATTTATTTTACTCCTAAATCTAAACTCATTATCTCGTTTTTATGTTTGTTAGCATGCACAAAGGACATTTTTGGTATTTTTGAGTCAGAAGAGAGAGAACTAATTAAATAAAAAGAGATGATAGATTCTTAATTTTTCAATCCTATGTGTATATAAATTAATATAACCCTTTTTTAAAAACAAAAGATAAACAAAATAAAATAAAAAACAAACTTGTTTTACTTTAGTTTGAACATTTATTTTAATTTGAAATAAATGTAATTTTACTTGGAGAAAAAAAAAACTTCTTCACCTCCAAACAAGAGAAAGCTTCTTCTCCTCCGAACAAGGGTTTATCCGGTCCGGAATTAGACCCATATATTTATCAACTTTTATTTCAGTTTTCCAATTTTGTGCGTTTACTTTATCTCCCTCAAATCATAACCATTTTCCCCAAATTTTAAAAGCTACGATTTTAATTATCAGAAATGTAACCGTAAATGGAAGTTTCTCCTTTTAATCATATTTATTCATTCTCTTTCCAAATTCAAAATTTTTCACATCTATTCACCCCAACCCCAAATCTTTTTCTCGCAGTTATGTCAGATTAAGAGCATTCGAAGGATGAACTTGCGCCGAGCCTTCTCCAACGCCTATTCGCCTACTCCAAAGAAAATTTAATTGGTAAGTTGGTCGACGCCTTGGAACGAAGAGAAGTATGGGAAACGATTTTGAGTTCCTATTTGGAAATCTATTCAACCTAACTCCTTTCCGGTGTGCTAATTCGGCAAAATTGATCCACGGGTTATTGTTATTAGAGTATGTATATAGACCGGTTTACTAATCTTGGTTGAGTTAATTAGATTACGGTTTATTGTATATATTGGTTTACTCTTAGATGTATATAAGCTGACATTTGTAACAACTTTACACTTAAGAAATATAAAAAAGCATTCACAGATTCTCTTTGCTCATGATTTCTATCATGGTATCAGAGCATTTTCTGCGTTTTTTCCGTTGATTTCACCGATTATCTTCAGATTCTTCTTAAATTTTCCTTACGACAGTTTTCACATCATCACTGGATTGATATGTTCGCTGCTCCCTACTCAAGCTGATATAGAAGGGAGGAAAACTGAGAAATCAAAGTACTACACCTGACGATGGTGGTTCTGTTGTTAGATCTACTCGTAACTCGTCATCACTAGTCTAAAAGATCTGTATCAAGATTTCTGGAAATTGCTTTCTTTGGCACTACTTGTGATTGTTGATGGTATAGTTTGCTACTCCAGCAAACTTCTCAAAGTTCATGCGGACATGCACTGTTGCAATGCTCTTAGAGCATCCACAATGGTGCATGTAGGAGTATGGGTGTGAGTGGTGATTTATTAATAAAATAATGTAAAGGTGTGAGTGGTGATTTATTAATAAAATAATATAGGAGTATGAGTGTGAGTGATGATTTTTTTATGTCAAAAAATCGGAACCAACAAAACAAAGACACATGTCCCTCACAACCGAATGTAAACTAACACTCGAATACCAACTCCAAACTTACTGTTCTCTTATTTGTGTATATTTTAATAGTCACACCCACACAAAAAATAGACTGTTGTGTATGCTCTTACACATTGATTATTTCCTTGCTTTCCCGTGGGGGAGGAAGTCGTTCATTGACACTTTCTCCAGGTTTGGTCCCCCTTTAATTTCTTCCGCGACTGAAACTCTCACTAGTCGGTTGTTGCAGAATAAATGTGCATGTTACAAGGGGCCCCTTCCTTTACAGCTTCTAGCCTTTCAAACTACATTCCTTTACTTCTGCACAAGACCCCCACACCTGATGACACAGCTTCCTTTCTTACAAATCCAGAAATATGCAAATCTCTGTTAAGTGATAGTTTTAACACATTTCATAGGTTTTTTTGTGACGGTGGTTGAGATTGGCATTCCAGAGGTTGCGTTTGCCGTGCCGACGAGGATCTTGCTTTGCGCTTGTTTCTTGGTGGAATCTCCATCGGAGTTGGTTCGTTAGAAATTTCAAATATTTCCTCTGATTTCTAAAGTAGTTAAATTGAATTATTAAATTTTACTAACAACATATATACATTATTAATGGTCATGAATATATATTTTATGAAGCATGATATACACATAGTCATATATATATACATAAAGATCCTGAATAGTAGTATAAACTAAAGTCACAAAGAATGATTCTTATACAAATATTTGAAATAATTAATGGTTATGAATATACTTTATGAAGCATGATATACATATATAGATACATACATGCAGATCCTGAATAGTAGTTGTCTAAACCAAAGTCACAAAAAATAATTTTAATACTACTACTATACAAATATTGACGATTTAAGTGCAGTTTATTTGCTTGGTTGCCTTGTCTAAGTTGTGAGAGACTGCTTTGGTTAAGTTAGAGTCCTCAAAACCAAGCTCTCTCCAAAAATTTTGCATAGGAACCAAATTGTATAGTTGTGACATGTCAGTTCAAAATCACTAGACATTCTTTAGATTAGTTTTGGCTTAAATTCTTTTTGACTTACTTTGGATCCAAGACCAGTTTCGGAACCTCTTTAGTGGCTGCGAGAAAAGATATGGTTATATAGAACTCAAGGCACATAGAGATGTTTAATAGCTTGGAAGGCCGAATCAAAGATTTGTAAAAAAGGAAATCATGAAAAAAAAAAAAAACAACAGACTCTTCGAAAAAAGGAAACAATTGAAACTTCCTTTTTTCTATTTTGCTTATAAATACATGAAGGCTAATCTCCAACATCACTCATTCTCTCTTCTTGTTCTTCAAAACCAAAATAAAGAATTCATCCTGATTGATCTCCTCTGTTGTAAGAATCGGTGTACTTAGCTGATGTTGTTGTTGTTGTTGTTGTTGTTGTTGAGTAACGACAGTACCATGTTCTTCCACATTATCGAATAATTCGTCCATGCTAAAGATTCTGTCATCTTTAGACATATCCAACAGGTCTTCTTGGGTGCTCTTGTCGTTGCTCCAGCCCGTCATTTCCATTCCTGATCTTGAATCTTGCATCATGAGACTCTGTTCTTTCTGATTATACTCAATCTCAAAAGAGAAAAGATCTGGCAAAAGCAGCGGAGTATGCGGTTGTTGATACAAAACATCATGAGATGGCTGCTGGTGATAAGAATCTATGGGGGCTTGTGAAAAATGCTGCGGTTGTTGATACACAATATCATGAGCTGGCTGCAGTTGATAAGAATCTAGCGGGCCTTGCGATTGATGCGGTTGATGATACTCGACATTACGAGGCTGCTGCTGTTCCAATGCTTCCACATGTGCAATTGCAGTTTTACTTCCATTAATGCTTCCACATGAAACGCCTTCTCCTTTCTTCTGCTTCTTATTCTCTTCTTCCACTTCTTTTGTCTTCTTTATAGCTTGTGGAGTCATATAGATCTTGCACAAAGTATAATCCTAGACGCACCAACAAAACCAAGACTCAAAACAGAATCCAAAACTCAAATTCTTAATCACTTGGGAACCAAGAAACACATACTTACCTTGTCGTTGTTGTGACAAGTGTGATGCAACGAGTATTCAATCATTAACCAATCCGTTTTGACGCTGCCTGACCGTGTCCTAACGAAGTATGCAAGTGCCGTTTTGTAGCCAACGACACCTTCTCCAGTGTTGATCTCTTGGGCAGCCCCTGTTGCGTGCCAATATCCTCCTTTAGTGTCGCCACGTTTCTGCTTTGTCGCACCATTACCAACTCTCTTTTTCTTGCTTAAACCTTGATCAACTTTGTTCCTCTCCGATATAATGAACCATTCTTTCTCATTACCCTTTTCGAATCCCACTATTTCAAAAACAGACATATAGATATATAAATCACTTATAATATACTAAATATAATAAGAAATTTGAAAATTACACCTAATTTTATACTAATTTGAAAACTACTTTTTTTTAATTGAAAATTGACCATAATAACCTTTGTAATAATCTAAGTTTATTTTAAATATTAATTTTAAATACTAAAAATTTAATCTAAAACTAATTTTTAATGATTATATTTCAAAAATTTAACTAGAAACGTAATTAATTTTTTAATAATAAAAAATTATGAAAACACTTATTAAAAAATTATTTACTATGGTTACATTAATCTTAATCTAAAATTTTGAATTAAAAATATAAAAAATTATTGCTGATAATATTATTTATCTTCATAATTTATTAAAAAACAAGTAATTTAAAATTATATATTTTACAATTAATAAATTTATATATATATATATATATATATATATATATATTTCCTCCATATTTTTCGATAGACTATTTGATTTTATGTTGATTTATTAATAAATTTGATTTTCTTAACTAACGTCTTATATTTTACTGTTGGCTTACTTTTCAGCGCCTTCATTTTTTTTTAAACAGTCGACATATGTTATAGCTCGTTGATTTATAACATAGTCAAATTTTTGAACTATTTACTTAATATTTTTGTTTATCGATTTATAATTTTTTATGTCGACTTGTTTATTCATTCTAGACTTACTTCATTTTACGTTGACGTATTATAATATGGTCAATTTTTTTCGTTAACGACTTATATTTTACGTTAACGACTTATATTTCATTTTCGTCGACTAAATTTATTTTCTATCGACATCTTTTAAAACATATTTTTTCGATTGGTTTTATACATAGACGACTTTTTAAATTTTTTTTTATTATTGTACTTTTTTTGAACTGTCGACTAATATTTTATTTTAATCGACTTAATTTTATTCTCTATGGACTTATGTTAAATCAGTAGACTTATATTTTGGTTCATTGATATTTTACATTGTGGAATTTTTGAACTACTGATTTTTTAAAAAAAATTAGATAATTTGTTTTGGCTATAATTTTAAAATAATAATTTGATTCAAAACAATTTAATTTAAGTTATATAATTATATTTGTAATTGGTATGAAAGAAATATTCTGTATTTAAATAAACAAAAATCTAGATAATATTTTATCATATAGTTAAAATGTATAAATTTATTTCTATTTAGTTTTTCGTAACTATATAATTTAAAATATAGAATTTATTCCTTAATTTAAAAAAAATTAATAAAATACTAATCATTATCTAAATCTTAACTAAAAATAATTCTAAAAGAGTATCTGCTTTATTAAAAAAAAAATAATTTTAATTTTAAAATTATATAGCTTATAACTAATTAATCAATTTATTTTTATTTTATTTTCAGATTTTTCAATTAGTGATTTTTTTAAAAAATCTTTAGATTGAAGTTCATATGATTTTATATGAAAATAAATTTAGCTTGTCACTTACAAAATAATATGAATTTGAACTATTATGTGGGAGTTTATAAGTATTCTAATTATACTTATATTGAAACAAGATTATGGAAATTATTCTAAAATTTTTTTTATTGTTTACATGAACATAAGAATTATGCAAAAAGCCGCGATACTAGTATAAACAAACTTAAAGAAATAAGGAACAAATATATATGGATAGAGACAAACCTGAAAGTTGTTCTGGATTCGACTCATAGATATTCACGAGATGAATAGGAACATTGAGCAACACGTTCTTGTAGCCGTCCAAGTAGGGTTTCAAAGTAACAAAAGATGAGTTGTTGATCGCTTGGTACAAACTGATAACCTGGAGGTAAAATGTAAGCTAGCGTCGATGGAGGAGGCATGTTATCAGCTGCCAAAGAAGAAGAAGAAAGATTCTCCGACGGTGGTTGCGTTTGCGGTTCCGGCGAACATCTTTCCTTGCGCTTGTTTCTTGTAGGTATCGACATCAAGTAAACTTTGAAGCGTTAACAAAATTATAATATGTAATTCGTGAGATTCAACTTAGTTAATGTCTCTTGACTATTTATAATGGTGTAAAGACGGTGGAATATAATGATTTTTTAAAAATTTATCAAAATTAAGATAATATAGATTCGATATTATCGGATTAGGTATACAGGTTGTTACGAAATCAAGTTTCACGTTGTTTAGGTCCATCACTGAGTTAGGATCGCACACTTTCTTCTTTCTTCGTCCTCTCTCCGTCAATCTCCGTATGTATTAGGATCGATCCGTTGTGCTTGCATGGCTCAAATTTGTAACCTTTCCGATTGTGATCGTTTGCAGATTTGACAATTTTATGGTGTTTGATCCTAAATGAATTGCTTGACCTTTTCCTGTATTATGCTCATAATTGATCATATCACCTTATAATATAATACAGAGATCTTAATGAGCTTTGAAGAAATAGATGGAGACGATGATTTCCTAGAGAAGTTTGCTTGCCCATTTTGTGCAGAGTCATATGATATCATTGGCTTGTGCTGAGACATAGATGATGGACATTTTTTAGAGTCAAAGAACATTACTTTACACGCTGATAAGCGTTCAAAAGTTACCACATCATCATGGAGAATCATCAACATCATTATATATGTCTTGTTATGTACGTTAGATTTTGCAGGTATGTCATGTTTGCTCGGTAAAACTGGGGCTTGATATGGTAGTGCACAAAACGCTTATACTTATAAAATTTTCACTTAAAGTAGCTACACTCTTGAGCAATTCATCTTTTCAATTTCCTTCACAAAATTTTCTTGCTAAATCTCATGATCTGTTGAATTCCCTAAGGAGTTCTACTTGCAGCGAAAGAGATAGTCACAGAAAACCCGCGGTTCTCATTCAATACATTTTCTTCTTTGGAAAGAGTTAAGAAAGAGGTGTTAGCACTGTCTTATATTTTCTATAACTACCCAACACTCAAATAAACTTGCAACCATTCTATTTTTTAATTAATATCTTAAAACTACCCTAATATCTAACATACCCAAATTTCTTAATAAAAAAGGTTTATAATAATTCTCTTACGTTTAGGTTTGTAGCTAGTCCTGGGCGTTCGGTTATCCGATCGGTTATCGGTTCGGTTTCATTCGGTTTTGGTTTTTTTGGTTCTAAAATTTAGTATCCATCTAGGTATTTTGAAATTTCTGTTCGGTTTCGGTTTTAAAATTCAGTATCCACTCGGTTATTTTGCTTTGGATATTGTCGGATATTTCGGTTATTTTTGGGTATTTTCGTATATTTTTCGATATTTTCGGTTATTTTCGAATATTTTTACTATTTTTATATATTTTTCAAGTATTTTTGATTATTTGTTCTATAAATAACTAATTTTTTTGAAAATATAATTATAATTTGGGTATTTTCGGTTACCCAAAATTTTCGGTTCGGTGCCAATTCGGTTACAGTTATTTTGGTTTTAGAATTTAGTATCCATTCGGTTATTTTCAAATTTTCGGTTCGATTTGGTTCTGTTTTTTTTTCTTTGGTTTCGATTCGATACATTCGATTCGGTACATTCGGTTTGGTTTATTTGCCAGGCCTATTTGTAGCTATAGAAAATTCGTAAGAGCATCCACAGTGGTAGAAACTCATAGAGTCTCTCAAATATATTATTATACTACTTAATTATTATTTAAAATTAAAAATTATAAAAAAACAAATAAAACCAATGAAATCTTGACAAGTGGAAAATGAGTCTCTAGAGAGGTTCTCATGGATTCTCAAATGAGAACCAATTCTCCTCTTTCTCTCCTCCTTTTTATTACTTTTCATTTTAATATTAGTGAGAAACTTTATGAGAACCTCCCACTGTGGATGCTCTAAACTATGTGATCATAACCGCTAATGGACGTCATTAATGCATGGACACTCTAGAAAGATTTATTTGGAATTTAAAACCGCATTTATTTGATATACATGCATGCTACGTTTTATGAGTTTGTTAGTTTTAAAGAGAATTAAGTTTTAGACTTTCAGCATTTACAAATTGTATTTAATGGGTGATTAGTGTTTAATTTAATTATACAAAAAAGTGTTGATTGCATAAAGAAAGAATAGAACAATAACAAAAGAATAATTTCATTGAATCCTCTTTATATGAGTTATTTGTTTTTGTCAGATCTTGTAAGTTGTAACATATACAAATGTAAGAAAATTGGTTATGTCTTTGTGTTTATCAGTTTATGCATAAATGGCATATTTTTATATCTTGAAATTATTTTAGCATTGATCTTTTTAGATGATTAAAAACAAAATAATAAATGTAGGGAAATGTGTATTTCACAGATGTTTTTAGTATAGTATAGTGTATTTGGTTTTGAGAAAAAGAAACATGTCTATAGGAGAGGCACATGGTAGTTTCTCAAAACTTGTGTTTTAGAAAAATCCTACTTTACCATATGAGATTTAGCTAAACAAATTTTTTTTTTTTTTTAAATGATTTAGCTAAACAAATTTTTTTAAAAAAAAAAAAAAGATTTAGCTAAAACTATTAATAAAACTGAATTGGTTCATGTTTATGTTCAAATTTAGCTAAAACCATCAAAAAGTTTTATTGGTTCACATTTATGTTTAAATTTAGGTAAAACCATAAAACGCTTATCTAGTAATTAAAGGAAACAAAACGTCTTCCACACAATATAATTATAAATACTACATGTTGATGTCGTTATTACTTCAATAAAGGTTTTAGATTCAAAAATGAATCATTCCATACTTTTAATGTTAGTTACTATTACATGTTTCAGGCTAAATCAAGCATGCCAAAAAAATCGTGTAGAGATTCTTAACCAACTCGAACCTGGTCGCATTCTCGAATATCATTGTCGTTCCAAAGATGATGATCTAGGCGTGAGAAGATTAAACTTCAATGCCACTCCATTTACCATTAGATTTCATGACGAAATACCCAATTTAACAAAATGGGAATGTATTTTTAGGCAAGGACCTGCCATGGAATATTCATTTGACATTGAA